AAGCAGTGGTATCAACGCAGAGTACTCTGCTGAAACAGCTGCTGCAACTTTCCTCTGGGACGGATCCGATACCGAAGGTAAGGTCGTCACCGGTTCTGAAGAAGAAACTTCCGGTTATTGGTACATTTACGACGACAATTCTGCCCCGAACAACGGTGACTCCAAGATCACCTTCCCGGAGGATGTTGAAGAGACCATCTACGGTAACTTCTTTGGCCCTCTCTGCGAAGCATACGGTGGCATTAAGGGAACCGCTACTCTCGGTACCGCTTATGAATATCCGTTCGTTGGTCTCGGCTTCAACATTTGGTCTGAAAACCAGGAAGGTGTCGACATCTCCGCTTGGGGTGGTATCTGCCTTACCTATACCTCCACCACTCAGTTCTTCATCGAACTCGGTGTTGCTGACGAAGCTACTGTGACCGAATACAACAACTTCAAGACTGCTGTTGCTAAGGCTGCTTCCAAGACTACCATGGACTATCCGTGGGCAAAGTTCAAGCAGGAAGCTAACTGGGGTAAGACTGTTGCTCAGGCTGAAGTCCTCGCAAACACTGCAGCTATCAAGCTAAAGTTCTCTTCCGCTAGCGGCGACTTCTTCATTCAGGAAATTGGTTCCGTTAGCCAGTGCGGTAAATCAATATTACCTAATTCAATTATTAATAATAGACTTATTTCTAATAATCTAAGAATCATTGATGAACAGATTGTTACAGATCTTGATGTTAGTGTCTATAATCTTGATGGTACATTGATTTCTAAGTCCAAAGATATTTCAGGTCTTAATCAAGGCGTCTATATTGTAAAGGCCGGATCTGAACAGAAGATTTTCAAGAAGTAATTTTCCTGATAAACGTAAAAAACAAAAAAGACTCTGGGACAAAATCCTGGGGTCTTTTTTGTAAATTTCTTTTTACATATTTTTAAGATCTACTATTGACGAACTCATTATAATTAAGTATATTTGAAACATAAAACAAGAGGTTTAATTATATGAAGAAGATCATTAAAAGCATTGAATTTTTTGCTGAACGAGAATTGGTTGAAGGATGGCCTGTTTGGGATAATTGTGAAAATTTTAAACAGATTGGCATTCGAACTTATGAAAATAAAGAAGGAATTATTTATTCTCTGTACAAGTTCAATGAAAATTTTACAAAAATGACGATCTATTGTGGATATACTAAAGAAGAAGCTCTTCGTGCTGGTGGTTGTACTCATGCTGTAAAGGTAAATTTTATTTAACAAAAGATCAATTGACATACTTAATATAATTAAGTATATTTGTAATGTAAAAACAAATGAGGTTAATACTATGAAGAAGATTTACAAGATTTTTGCTCAGAATTGGAATGCCACAGAAAAGCTGTTGGTATGTGAACAAGAAAATGAAGAACTTGCTAAGGAACTGGTGAAGCAGTATAATGCTAAGATCTTCCTGCTTCATTTCTATTATGAAGCAGTAGAACTTTCTTAAATAAGGAAAATGAAAATGAAGAAGAGACATCGTCGTACAAAAGCTGAAATGGCAGCATTCCGAGCATCTCAGATTGAAAAGAAAGCAAACAAGTATCTTGAACGTGTTCAAAAGAAACTCGAAAAGAAGAATGTTTCTGATGAAATGAAGATCATCAAGAATCCTCTGGAAATTCCTGATGATGGAAAGTTGTACGACATTCGTTCAATTACGGGCACAGAATCTGAAATGAATGAATTCTATCAATCTCATAAGCAGGATTGTATTGCTGTTCCGTATGACGCCGGAAATGGTCTATGGCAAGTAAATTATTATCAAGAAATCACGGAAGAAGAACATAAGAATAGATATAGAAATTTAAATGTGCCAAACCGTTGCCAAAAGGCATAAAATTTGTTAAATTGTAATCATTGAAAAACGGTGGATGGTATTCCCTTGAGACTTAGAAAGTTGTATAGGATTGGGTATCATTTTCCTTTAAAAAAATAAGGTTCAATACATCTGCTATGGATCCGGAGCTATAGTTCAAAAATACCTGTATAAGACCGATTGTAGTGGTTTGGTGAGTTATCCATGGACAACGGCACAAATGATGAAAATGATGTATGAATTCTATCAATGCGAGACTCCACGCATGAGGGGTATGGTAGAAGAACCTTCAAATTTGTTGAAGAGTGAACTAATTCCACCCTAAAGGGTGGAATTTTCATTTTCGCTTCTTTGACTTAACTTGCTATTTGTTCTTAATGAGAATGTAATAGTAGAGGTTAATGTCTCAGCGGAGGCTTGTTCCAAGCACTCAGCTCTTTTAGTTGAGCCAAACAATTTTACATTTTGTGCTGCATGTATATCTCTATCAGCAATATATCCACAATCACATTTATAAGTTCTTTCTAGACCAATGTTATTCAAACAAGCACAATTTGGACAAAATTTAGTAGTAGGTTGAAATTTATCAATTTTATAAGTTTTTCCTGATTTTTCTAAACTTATTAATTTTGCTTTTATTCTTCCTAAATATGATGCTTGTATTTGCCTTCCAAATGAATTTCCACATTTCTTACCAGTTTTCTTTGATTTCTTTTTCTTTTTCCATTTTGAAATTTGTTCATCTTGAAAATAAATAGTATCATAATTTGAAGTAAGATAATGTATCAATTTATTTGTTTGATCTATTTTCTTGTTAGTTATATATTCATATTCTTTCTGAATTTGATTACGTAATTTGTAATAACGCTTAGAACCCTTTTGCTTTCTATATAATTGTTTTTGTAGAAATTTTAGGTATTCAGTTTCTTGCTCATTACAATTAAACTTTTCTCCATCAGATGTGACTATATTATCTTTAATGCCAAAATCTAAACCAACTTCTTTATATGTTTTTGGTTTGATTATTGAATTTTTGTTTATACAAACAGAAACATGTATATAAATTCCACTAGCTTTTCTAATTAAATTTGAATTGGCTAATTCAAATGAATTATATTGTAAAATTTGATCTAGTCCATAAACCTTTAATTTTTTGAAACCGGGAATAGTTATATGAGAATTATCTATTATTTTTAAACCACCGGTTAAAATAGGAATACAGTTACATTCTGATTTAAATTTTAACGCTCCTATTTTTAAACCTTTTTTCTTTGCCTTTGATAAATTAATAATGTCTTGTTTAACATTATTAACAATACCTCTATGAAGATAAACAGGTAATGTAATAGATTCTTCAATCTCATTTTTAAATTTATCAAAATGCTTGATTGTTTTATGATTTAAATACTCATATTTGAAAATAGAATTATCTTTATTTTGAAATGAATAAGCAAGCATATCATTTCTAACCCATTTTGCTTGTTTAAACATTTCATTAAACTTTTTAAATGTTTCTTTTTCAGTTTGATGACAATTAACTTTTAATTCAACAACTTTTATAATTTGTTGTTTTCTTCTAGAACGGGTTTCAATTAAGCTTTGCTTAATTTTATTTCGTTCTTCGGATGTTAAATGTTTTCTTGCCAAATAATATATTTATAATTTTGACTTATTTTTATTTATTTATGATTTATGTCAAAGCACTATATTTTACATTTTTTAAAAAAAAACATTGCCAATTCATCAGAAATTTAATATATTTGTACTATAAAACAATAATAATAACAGAAGTCAAATGGTAATTATGCTTTATTACAGATTGGACGGAAATGTTTAATCTAAAACATTTTTAAAAGTAATTATTTAAAGCAAGCGAAATGAAATCATTAAAAATTTAAATGTTTTAGAGACATTTGGTGTGGTGAGGAGATAAACATTTAAAAAATGATTTTATTGCTTTGATGAGTTTCAAGTCTTTTAGTAATCATTTAAAAAGAAAAAGACTTGTGATTGAGTTCTTTAAGGTTTTCTCTCCTGAATAAAAGAAAACATTATTTGTTCTTTGAATTAAGCGTGTAGGATCGGTTTCTACACGCTTTTTCTGTATTGGATGAATAGATATACATCTTTTCAAAGAAAACAGTTCAGATCACGTTTCTGATGTGTTTCTCTTTGTAAACTTCTTTTTACATATATTTTGAGATCTACTATTGACAGATTGAATATAATTAAGTATATTTGTACTATAAAACAATAACAGAGGTATTACTATGAAGCTGACAACTGATCCCCGCAAAGAAATCAAGGAAATCCTGAATGCTGAAGGATTTGAATGTGTGAATCTTCGTGAAATCACTCGTGGAAAGGCTTATGAATTTGTTCGTGCTTGTGATAAGCAGATTATTGGAAAGCTTGAAAAGAGAAATAATGAATGGTATTTGAGAGCTTGGAAGTTCCAGATCAAGGGAATGGAATATAAGCCTGTTGATGGAAAGTTTGTCGGCTACGATCATTGTGCTTGGGATGCTGAAACTGAACCCGTCACCACTGTGAATACTGCTATGGAATACTTCAAAAGCGTTGCTGAAATGGCAAAAAAGGTCCAGGATGCTAAGGTAAAGGCAGTTGAACTGTTCTGTAATCTTGTGAATATGTAAACTTATAACAACAGAGGTTAAAAATGTACTATTATAAGACAAAAGTATGGTTTGTTCCAATGAATACAGTTGTTCGTTTTAGCATTTTGGAAGACCTTTATAACAGTGGTATGATTAAAGTCTATTTCAATGATGGTACATGGGAAAGTATTCCTGATACTCTTGAACTGCTTGATGAATGTGGTAAGATCGTTAATTCTTATGATAACTGTTTGAGTAATAATACAGAAATTATCCAAAATCGTTTTGAAACTATCATTGCTGATTTCATTCAAGTTAACAAACCTTCTAGGATCGATAAATGACTTATTGGTAATTTCTTTCAAATAAAGAAAAAAGAGAATTAAAAGAAGCATTTAGAAATAGCCGTTATTTCAATAGAAATAGATTTTCAGATCTATTGTCTATTTTTATTGGAGCAAATGGAAATTACAATCTCTATAAAAATGCTTCTATGATTTTCTTTTGTGTATTTCCAGATGAACTTGATTCAATCAATAAAAATGCTCTAGATGTCTTCATGAAATATGCTCAAGTTGCCTTAAAAAGACAACAAGTCCAACAAGATCTGGATGTTCTAGCACAAGAATTCAATATTTGAAATCGCCGAAATCTGACAGAATTCACTGTGATTAAATGAATCCTTACGATCCAGCTTACATAGTTGAACATCTCATCATAGACGGAGATCTGGCGTAATCTAGAACAAGTTCATAAATGTAATCAAAGTTTTACATTAAGACCATTGCCAAACCATTAGAATTTAAGTATATTTGTAATTAAATAATCAAAAATAAAAGGAAACACATAAACATGAATCAAATTGAAGAAGATGAAATGCTCCAGCGAAGGATTAATCATTATGCTAAGACGATTGAACGTGAAAAGCATGAATATGAATCCATCAAGGAACTAATTCGAACAGCAAAGAAATTTCTTAATATGCCTTTCAAGATGTGTATTTCTCATCTAAAGGATCGTCTCGAATGTCTTGAACATATCAAGGCTTATAATAAGAAACGTGTTGAAATTCTTCATAACTATTCTGAACATTATAAGGTTTTAAAGAAACTCCAGGATGAATGGAAGTTCAGAAGAAATGCTCATGCTCAGAAGGCTCAAGATAAAACTCAAACAAAGATGATTAGTCGTGAAGAAGCTGAATACATTGTGAATGCTCTGACTAAGTTGCTAAGAACGACTAAATCCAATAAGTTTGCTCTGAAATTCTAAAAAAGTCAGCGGGTAAGAATCGGAGGGAAGCAACCAAAGTCGAAATGATTTTGGTTGTTTTCTTTTTATGAACTATTGTGAGCAGCAAAAAACTATAACATAAATGTAGAAGAACACACATTAATAATAAAGAATCTATATATTAATAAAATGTACTTCTACACTTATGTTATAGTTTTGAACTATTCGTAGTAACATCTTTAAAAATGTTCCGCTCAATTTCTCCTCGACTGAATCCCGACTTTTTTGAGCTTCTCCCTGAGACTGAAAAATTGAAATGGATGTTGCCAATAGTCCTGAAAATGTTATATTTGATAATGTAATTGAAAATGAATAACTTTTAAAATAGAAAGAAAACTTATGAACAAACTTTTATATATACTAATGTAAAACATATTTCTACTTCTTTCTTCTACGTAGAAGGTCAGTAGAAATACTGACAGAAGAAAGGAGTAGATCTTTAATGAAAAAAGAAAGTTATAATGAGTATTATGGAATGGTCAGAACCCAGATGGATTCAAAGATCATTCCTTTAAACATATATGGAGCTTTTGAACGAGCTGCGTATCTATGTGGAAAAACAAAAGAAGAATGTGCTGCTGTTGCTGAAAAAGAATTGATTGAGACACATTATTTTGTTAAGAATCCAATCTATGATGATAAGACTGTAGATATAAACCGAAAACTTCTATTCCACATCAATGCTATTGTTAATTCAGCAATGGTACAATTCTATAATACCAATCACATTCTAGCATTATTAGGATTTCCTGAATTTAAAAATTGTAAGTTAACAATAGACGATCTTTATAAGACGACTTGCTATTGGGTTAAAAGGTTATTCAAGACAGGAACAAAATATAATTACATTAAGAACATTGGAACATATTTCAAGAAAGTGACCGATTATCAAATAAAATGTATGGCACAGAATTATATTGATCTTTTCTATGTTATGGATCAGATTAAATTTGATACAATTGACGTTTTCAAGACATATAATAATGATCTTACGTATGTGAATGACCAGTTTTATACGAATCTTAAAATTTATTATTATAAGACAGGTCGAAAAGAAGTTGGATATGATAAAGTAAGAACTTATGATGGTCAATGGAAATTATATTTTACGGTAGAAGAAAAGGACAAGATTCATCGATGGTATGCTGCGGACAATAAAGGCTGCGTTAAATGGTTAAAAGAACAATTAAGTCCTTATTTTGTACCAAAGATCGGTTATGATGTATATGGAGAAAAGGTTGGATTACAGAATTTTTTCACGTCTTTGGCTATGTTCAAGTGTAGAAATGAAGTAGAACCTGCTACTAATTTTGAGATCAAACTTTTCAAAGACATTTTTGAACAAAAATTCAAACTTTATGCAAAAAAAATGTGGGGAGATCAATCCGAAGCAAAAGAATATATTGAGAAGCATTATGATGAAAATGGAAATTACATTGATGAAAATGGGAAAGTACATATCTATGAAGAAAAAACTTATAATGATGAATCCATTTCTCTTGAAGAAGAACTAGAAAATAATCCAATTATGAGAGAATTATACGAATTTCAGTTATCTCTAGAAAAAGAAAGAGATCAAAGAAATCAAGCAACAATGAATGAAGAAAAACTAAAAGAACAGCCTAATAGTAAGGGAACCATAGTCGTTCATGATATAGATTCTTATTTGAGACTAAAAGAATTGTATTCTGATAATGATTATATCATTGAACTACAATTAGAAAAGAAAAAGAAAGAACCTGAAGAAGGATCTCCGGAATGGTGGGCTGCATTAGCAAATTTATAGAAAAAAAAGAGGGATGAAAGTATATGCCAATAGAAAGAAATTATGAATCAATTTTGGAACAATTACCCGACCAGAGTGAAAGAAGGAAGTTTCCAAAAGAAAAAGTCCAACATGAGATCAGGACTCCAAGATGGATTCAGAACATTGAAGACAGTCTCCATAGGATGGAATTTTTAAAGGAAACATACAATACAGACAAGTATGATGCAGAAATTGAGAAATTCCGAAAGAAACTCAAAGAAGCAAAGATTTCATTTGAGAAGTGGTTGTTGAAGAAAGAATTTGAAGAAGAAAATAACGAAATGTAAACTTTATTTTACATATTTTTTGAGATTAACCATTGCCAGATCATCAGAAATTTCATATATTTGAACTATAATCAAATGAAAGAGGTTTAAATATGAATACTTATATCATTACTCGTAAAAATAAGACTAACGATGTTGTTCGTTTTATGATGACTAAGACAGGTAAGTATAATGAAGATTTGGTATCTTTCACCAAGTATCTTGGCTGGGCTGATAAAATTAACTCAATGAAAGAAGCACAGAAAATTCTTAAGACTCTTAAGGAATGTATGCCTGAAGATACATTTGAAGTTAAGCTTATTAAGGAATTCTTTTAAAGATCTAAATCAAGACATTTTCATAAGAAAACCTATTGACAGAACAAAAACATTTAATTAAATTAATAACATAAAACAAAAACAAACTCAAAAAAGGAAAAATAAAACTATGAATACTAATACTCAGACTGCATCCATCAATCCTATTGAAACTCTTGGCAATTCTATGCTGAAGATGATTAGTGAGACTTCTCCAAAGGTATCACAGATTTCTCCGACTGAATGGAAGTTTGCTGAAATTGATAATGGTAAGACTGTAAGTGATTATCGTTTGGCCATGACTGATGTTCAGGGAAAGACTGGCAAGGTATATAAGAAGCGTCAGCTGTTCCGTATCAATGCTGATGGAACTGAAAAGGCAGTTGAATTTGGTAAGTTGAAGAAGTGTTATCTGTATAAGGCCTTTAGCATGTTGAAGCCAAAGACTCCACGAGCACATCTCAACAATTATGATCGTGAACTGACAGCAAAGCTTCGTGATGAAGTTGCTCGAAATAAGGCCAATTTCTCCATGGATGAAAATGGTAACATTAATGGTACTTCTTCCTTTGGTCAGATTCATATTGAAAATGGTGCGATCAAGTCTATGAAGAATAATCATCATCGTAATTTCGGTCGTAAGCTGTATATTGATAATAAGCTGGTATTTGAAGGTGCTGGTCTGAATATGATCTATGCTGCTTTCAATCGAAAGACTCGTAAGAAGTAATAACATAAACCCCCGTGAAAAAATTCATAGAATCTTATACATTCTATGAATTTTATTTTTAATCATTATGTCAATTTTACAATCTCAATACAATCATAGTAAGCTTCTAGAAATTCTTGAACAAAACAATATAACGCTTTCAAAATTTAGATGGAATGAAGGCTATTATAATGCTGGAACAAATTATAATCTAACATATAAGGGATTTGGTCAAACAGGTTATCTTGAAAAGTTAATTGAAGATATAACAGATCCTGAAGAAGCCACAAAGAAAATGGCTGAAGCTCTTATTACTATTGTCAATGAAAAGTCCAAAGAATTTTCAAATCGTAATAAGAAACGAAAGATTCAGGAAGAATTAAATCTATTAGATGATGATCTTTCAATGGAATTGGACGAATGGATTTCTGAAAACATCAAGACGAATCCAAATGTTACAGTAAAAGAAGAAAGAAATGATTCTTATGCTTTCTTTTATCAAATTACACCAAAAGAAAATGAAAATTTAGATATGGTCCAGACTGGTTTCTAACCATCTATAAGAACAATAAGGGAACTTGGGGATTCAATTCATCAATCTATGTTTGGCAAATTGTACATTCTTATAAACCTAAAGAAAATAAAGACTATATTTCATTATTGAAACTTCATTATAATTGGCTAAAAGATATGCCATCTCGTACAACATTAAACCAATTCAAAAAGGGATAATAATATGTTCATCCATACTACTATTGCTAATCAAGACCATACTTTCATGGTTCAGTTTTCTCATCCAAATTCTAAGTCTCATCGCTATTCTTGTTGTGATATTTTCCTGATCTCAGATCTATATCCAAATGATCTAAAGTTTAACTGGAATTCTAATTCAATTCAAGCATTCCATTCTAAAGCTCTTCCAACAGCAAAGTCAAAGATGCTTCTAGTATCATCAAAGGTACCAACGAATTCACAGGATCAGTTCTGTTATGCTATTGGACGTTATCTTTCATTGAGTTATGCTCTACGATCTATTGTAAATCCATTCAATGATACACATATTTCTTTTAGAGCTCCTATTCAACCATTTCCATTCCAGAATCATAATTATACTGACTTCTTTAAGCAGTCGACTGCTAAACTTCAAAAACCTATGTAAAGAACTCAATAGATCTTCATTTCTATACGCTTTCCTTGACGCTCCTGACAGTCTGACTGTATAAGAAATGAAAATGTATGTACAAACATTTAAAACGGCTAGAAACACGCTTCTCAACCGTTTTCTTTATGTAAACTTTATTTTACATATCTTTTATATTGACAAACTCATTATAATTAAGTATATTTGTATTATAAAACAACAAGAGGTACTAAATATGGTTTATTTTACTGACGAAACATTCATGATTCTTCCTGAAAACATTGATTCTATTTTTATTGCTAAGAATGGTAAGTATCTCCTTACTATTGAATCAAAAGCCGATGTATGTCATTCATTCACAAGTCTGAAACTGATGGATGATGATGATGTGCTTGATACTTTGGAACTTCCTCCATACGAGGATTATAAAACTGATTTTGAAACTAAAAATAAAAATCTCAAGGAAGGTTTTGCTCATCTAATGAAGATGTATCGTAGAGCAATTTCCCTAATGTAAAGATCTCAAAAAAGGACAAGCAAAACCGCTTGTCCTTTATTTCTATACGCTTTTCATAACGCCAGAAGCCGTTTCTATGATTCACCAATACATTAACACCTTTCAGCAGGATAACGGTAATCCTGCTGTTTCTGTAACCATTTCTTCATTTCTATAAGAGCACTAATGATCTGGAACTTATCATAAGTTATATTTCCAATTTCTTCATTGAATGATCTAGTTATATCATATCCATCCATTCCATAGATCCATAACTGTTCAGTAGCACTCAAATGCTGAAAATGAAATCTTCCACGACTCGTTTCATCAATTAGTTCTTCTATTTCTTTTAAACATTCTTTTCGATCATGTATTAACATTCTCTTCATGTGGTTCAATAGAGGCAACCAACTATTCTTTCCATTGTCTACATCTGCATATCGTTCCAACATATCAGTCATGTCTACTAATCGATTGAAGTTCAATAATAACCATATCCTTAAGACCTGATAAATTGGTCTACAACTTGTTCCTTCTCCTATTCTCTTTAATTCATCTTTTGAAAAGGGACTTTTAAAATGTGCCATTCTACGATTATACAACTCTAATCGTTCTGCATAACTCTTTTTCATTTATTCCTCCATAAATTATTAAATCCGGAATTCCCTGCTACAGGATTCCGGTTTTCTTTGTCTATTTATACACATAAGAAATCATATCCATCTTTGATTCTATACGCTTTCCTTGACGCTGGAGACCGTTTCTTTCATTAACACATAAACTTATATGTCTATACGTCCAGATCGGCTAGAAACACGCTTCTCTTTGTAAACTTATTTTAACATATTTTTTCAGTTTAAACCATTGCCATTTTCATTATAATTAAGTATATTTGTAATGTAAAACAAAAATGATTTGTTTTAAAAGGAATTATCTAAACTATGCTTCCTAAATCTTTCTTCATATTCCTTCTCTTCTTTTCTCTGTCTTTTGCTGAAAACATTACTATCAATAACATTTATTCTTATTCAATTTCCTCAATCCATTCTATTAAAACATATACAAAAGAAGAACATGTTTTTGAATATAATGATTCAACTAAATCTAATGAATATGTTAGAACAGATACTTTAACTATTTCTAAACCACTTAATGAAATTGAAGTTTTTGCTAAGGATGCAGCAACATATACTCAAAATAAAAATGAATGTCTTAATGCCATTAAATTAATAAAAGACGAATTACCTGTATCTATTATCATTACTGATGATTTCTATATAATTAAATATAATCACTCATCAGATTACTACCCAAAAAAAGATTTCGTATTAACATTCACTTCTCTTCCACGTCCTCTTAATTCCTCTGATTTTTGTCCCGATAATTATTGAAAATGGAAATAATCTTGATCTGCTTCTTTACTGAATCAGATCTTTTTCTTTAAATCTCAAAAATCACAGTTTTCTATAAAATTACCATTCTGTCACATTTTCCACCATATTCCAGGCCCTATACTATGCCATCTATATAACCATGGATCTGACATAGATCTGACATATTCTGACACATGTCCTGTCCGTGAAACAAAATGAATTATTCCAGAAAATGTATTAAGGTCTTTATATGGTATACCCATCATTTTTAGAATGATTATGGGGTATATGAAAAAGTCTCGCCGTCTTTTGTATGAAACCTTAGAAAAAAAAACAAAAAATTCTAGAAAACACATAAAGAAAAAATCCCGAGCTCTAGAAAATTCCTAGCCCCCATAGAAAACCATTCTAGAAAAAATCTAGAAGTTCCAGAAAAAAAGACAAATTATCCAGAAAATCATTTTAGAAAATTTCCAGAAGCTCTAGAAAATCTATTGAAAAAATTCTAGGATTTCTAGAAATTTACAGGATATATGGAAAAGTTACAAATATAGAAAAAGTCAGTTTTGAAAAAAATCCGGACCGGCTAGAAAAAGATAAATTTCTGGAGAAAGGTCATTCTAGAAAAAATCCCGAGCTCTAGAAAAAATAAATAGTATAAGGAGAAACGTATGCTATTGAGAGAAGCAAAAGAAATTTTGGAAAAGAATGGATATAGATTGGTAGAAGATACTGATGAATCAGATGGTATGTCTTTGAAAGATAAAATTTCTATGTCAAAGAGGTTTAATAATGGGTCTGAAGAAAATAAAGATAGCGTGATAACTGAGTTAATTACTCGTATGAAGGAATCTCAGTGGAAATATAAACCAGAACCTGAAATGGAAGCTGACCCAGAAATTGGATATAAGTTTAGCAAAAAAGGAATGACTATTTGGATTCAAATAAAACCCGAACAGAAAGAATTTGTTATTGATATTGAAGTTGATTATAAATCGCATTATGATAGTTATAATACTATAGGTGATCCATATTCAACAGTTGATGATATAGTTGATAGGGCAAATAGTGAATATGCTGAATTTGCTGATGAATATCTATAGTAGAGAAAACAAGGAATACTAAAAAATCAGTAAATGATAAATTGAAAAAGATCTTGATTAGTTGGGATCATGATGAAGATGATATAGACGATGCTCTTAGTTGGTATAAAAATGAAATTAAAGAAATGTTAGAAGATGGAGAAAGTCTAGAAGACATTGCTGATGTGCTTACTGATTGGGAACCTTTATCAAAATAAATGGAGATTAAAATATGTTATAAAGCGAAGCAAAAGAAATTTTGAAGAAGAATGGATATATTGTAGAAACCATTCAAGATGAAAGAGCTGAGGAAAAGGAACATTTTTACAAGAAAGACGCACGTCAGGTTGAATCGGCTCTTAATATACTTAGAAAATTATATCCGGATGTTACAACAAGTCTTGGCAATATGGAAATTGAGAAAAATCCACTTGGTATTTACAGACGTTATCCATTGGAAAATGTAGATGGAAGAATGCTTGAAATTTGGTGTGGATTGTTTTCAAACCGTGGTAACCTTTATAACTATAAAGTTTTTGAATGGAGTCAGCCAAGCAAGAAATCATATACTGAAAAAGGATATGGCGATAGCATGCTAAAGAAATGGGTTCGCGATACATTAAAGATGAAGTCTGGACAATCTAGGTTAAGATAAAGTTTGGACATGTTTAAAACTTTGATGTAATACATTATAAATGTATTCCATTTTTTATCTCATAAATAGAAATGAGGAATAATATATGCCAGAATTAAATAAGGGATTTATTCCATTTGCTTATGTAGATGAGAATAGGATATATGATGATGAAGTAGGAAATGATTACGACCCAAAAGGTTGGAATACAGCGTCTGCGATGACGAATAAAACTTGTACAGTAACTGCGAATGATGGAAAAGATAAGTTTACAGTTGTACATGCTAAAGTTGATGAAAGAGTAAATTGGGATGGATTTAAAGAAGGTATATGGAATAAGACAAAATGTGATTGTGAAGGTGGCGGTGGATCTTATATTGCTCCAAGTATAAAGAATTTTGAATTAAGTATAGATGATGTAGTAAATGTAGATGATGGTCCTATAAAGGATTTTAGTGCTAGTGTAGAATTCAATAAGGGAAGTGATGTATTGAATTCTGTAACATTTGAAATTAGTTCTGAAGATGTTATAATTATTTCTCAAAAAGTTGAAAAACCTGATTCCGAGAATTTAAAGTTTGAAGTAGATGATTCGACGATGGAAAAGTTAGTAGATTCAGGAGCAACAGAAATAAAGGTAAAGATCATATTATCAAACGATGAAGAAGATGTAGTAGAAGAAAAGGTAATATATCTTGTACATAGTGTTTTATTTGGAGTTGTTTATACAAATGAAAATGATGTTGCTGCGGGAATTATTAAGAATCTAACAGAACCTGAAAGAATTCAGAAAAGAACTATAGCATATAATAAAGAAAAGTTTATAT